GGCCATAACATATCTTCTCCAAATTAATCAAATTGCGAATGGATAATACTTCCAAGATTGGAAATGCATTGTGAAGTGCCGCTGACTTCATGATATGTTGAATATCTGGAGCATTATGAATATAAAGATGCTTCAATTCTTGAAAACCTTCACTATCTAACTCATATATTATGTTTTTGACACCCTTCAACTCCTCTAGATGTAGCTCTTCAGACATCTTCAACAACTGTTTAAGCGAAGAATCAAAACTTACCGATGCCCTCAGCCGCAGCTTCAATATTCTTGAGATTTCAGCAGAACTATCCCATTTGTTCCAAGCATCTCCAATGAATATCTCGTATCTTTCAAGCTTTTCAAAAGACAAGTCTTTTGGGATCATCTCAACATCACGAATACGTATCTCCAAAGCAGTCAATTTCTTCAAATGCTTCAACTCAGCAAGGCTAGCATTTCGTTGACTTTCATGCTCATCATGCTCCCATCTGTTGAAGCTGTTTCCCAGGTACAGTTCTTCTAATTTGGACAGACTCGCCAAGACACGCGGCAGGATAACTTTAAGTTTACTGCAGCCACTCAAATCTAACAACTTTAACCGAGTCAATTGTCCAATTTCCCTTGGTAGCATTTTAATATCAGACCTCAAAAGGCTTAGAACTTCTAAATTCTTCAGCTCTCCAATAATGCTTATGTCTCCTAATACGCCTTGATCCAAGCATAATGTGTGGAGGTTCGTTAGGAGGCAAATTGATGAAGGTAGGGATGACATTTGCATACAAGTCAAGTCCAATACCCTGAGTCTTTGCATTCCCTTGAAGAAGTTTGCTGGAATTTCCAGAGGAGGACAGTTGTTAGACAATTGAAAGAGAGTAAGCTGAGGACTTTCTAACTCCTTTGGAAGCTCATTCATATTAGTATATTCTAGAAATATCCATTTGAAATCTTTCAATCCATTCTCATCTGAACACTTCTTTAGTAAATCATCATCTGTTAAGAACAATCCATAGTGAGCCCTGCAGGCTATTGATACAGCTACATCACGAATAACATCATGAACATCAAAACGCCCTCTGTCAGAACCATCAATCAACAAAGAAGAAGCTTTCAGATCACCTACCAATGTTATTACTTCATTCCGCGCTTCCCCTATGGTGTTAGATTGTGAGAATAAGCCTAAGCCTACACCATACTTCAACAAGTCTTGAAGTGAAGCATTGCGATCCATCAAACTAGAAAGTAAGAAAGTTTGCTTGAGCTCCTTACTTCCCAAGTGATTGTAACTCACCTCGATAGCAGTATAAACTTTTGCATGTATGCCGTTGAAGTTGCTTGGAGAGGGATTATTCAGTCTTTGTAAAGCATTCCTCCATTCAGGCAAACTCTTATTTTTCAAAGCTTCTGCAAGTGGTACAATAGCAAGGGGCAACCCCGTACATTTTCTGGCAATCTCAAAGCCTGTAGACTGAAAGTCGTTACTTTCAGCCCTATCACCAACTATCTTCTTGAACATTTGCCACGCTTCTTGATCTTCCAATTGGTTAATTACAATCTCCTTTTGAGTACACATTTCAGTTTTCAGGACATTAAGCTCTCTAGAAGACAATAAGATCTTGCATTTCATTTGTTGATCTTCTGTGGATGATGAGCCAGTTTCAACATTCATTTTCTGCTGGTCTTCAAAGGGAATACCAAGTGCCTCCAAATCTAGTTTGTCCCAAATATCATCCAAAATCACGAGAACCTTCTTTTTTAAAAATCTTGCTCTAAGCTGATCGGCAACACGCGTATCGGCAATACTCCGATCTCCAATCCCGAAAGGAAGCTGTAGACCCAAGCCATATGCTAAGTGATCTTGAATTTTTCTGCAGTCTGGATTCTTCTCTGCTACAGTAACCATAACTACTGCATCAAACTTCTTCTCTTCCTCGGCTTTTCTTTTAACTTCTTTGAGCAGCATCGTCTTGCCTACACCTGGCATCCCATGCAGTCCTATTATGTTAATGTTTGGACTCTGTAATGCCTTCATGGTCTCATCCAATACACCCATTCTTGACTCAAACTCCTGGAAACCTTTGACAGGTGCAGCCACTACCCGTTGTAGAATAGGAGGGCAGAAAGGTTGAAGGTTGAATCCAGGAACTTTTTGCGCATGCTCAGCAATCTTCTGGGAATCCTCTACCGCCTTCTTGCTGAGTTTGTAACGAGACCAGGGATTAAGACACATCCCAAAGAAACACTTCTTCTTTGCTTTTTCTTCACCATTCTCTATTGTGTTTGCCGCTTCAATAAACTTGCAGGCTGCATCCCGCCAATTCTTGTGCTTCAGTGCCATCTCTTCCCCTCTTCTTTCAGCATCTTGAGTACAGCGCTCCACGTGGTCCAATTCTTCCTCGAGCTTTTCAACTTGCTTCCTCAGCTTCTCAACATTCGCCTTCATCTTGAAGACAAGAATGATTGGATATGAGATTCGCTTCAAACTCCGATCGATCCAGTTCCCAGCAACAGTTCCAAGAGCATTTTGAACAACAGGAACGCAAAAGGCCCCGGCCATCTTCGATTTCTCTCCTTTTTTTTTTCTTTTTTTTTCATTTTTTTTTTTTTTTTAGCTTTTTGGAGTTTTTAGAAATAAATATGAACAAAAAACAAGGTAACAAAGTAGAGAGAAGCAAATCAAATGGTGAAAACACGAAGGAAGTGAAGAATGATTTGTTTGAGAGAATAGATGTGAAAAGGCTTCATTTTTTTTGGCTTTTTGGGTAAAGAGAAACAGAGAGTAGGTGAAATGCAAAGAGCAGGAGAGTGGCAATGGCAAGCAAAACAAGGAGACAGAAGAGCTTAGAGGTTAAACTAAACCCAAGAAAAGTAAAGACAATGGAGAGAGAGAGGATTTGAATCTCATTTTTCAAAAGAAAGAGAAAGGAAGAGATTGTGTTAACACTGGAAGGGGAAATTAAAGAACGGAGAAGAAGGAGACGAGGACTTTCGCTGCTGGATTAAGACTCTTAAAAAAAAAAAAAAAAAAAGAGATAATGATTAATTTAACTTAAAGTAGTTGATTTTGCAAAATTATTTAAATGTTTAAAAAATAATATAAAAATAAAATCAAGAACAGATAAATAATTTAACGGATACATTACATTACAATTCATTTTATAAAACAGATATTTCTTAATTTAATTACACGGTTAAAACTTAAAACCCCAATTGGTTTCTGTACTTTGATGGAAAGTCCATTACTTGTCCCTGCACTTAAGAAAGTTTTTTTTCTCCTAAAATTTATTTTTTTAACTCTAAATTTATTTAGATTTGTTAAAAATTTTAATTATTTTATAATATAGTAAAATTATATAAAAATTAATTTAGCGAGAAATTATATATATTGTGGTCATTAAGAAAGTTAAAGAATATTAATTTAATTTAGTTTATATTTAAAATTATTGTGAAATATTATGATTGTGGTTTTTTAATATTTTATTATAAAAAATTATATCATTAATTAATAATGATTTTGAAAAAAGTATTATATATTAATATGATCATTAAATTATATAAAATATTAATTAAAATTAATTTAATTATAATATATTAATACTTTTTATGAAGAAATATATGACAAAGCATTATAAAAAAGCAACCTTAAATGCAAGTTTAATCAAGTTTCAATCTTTTAATGGATTTTTTTGAAAATATTCATTGTGTATTTATTTGAGATTTTAAAAGGTTTTAAAAATTTATTTAATATTTATTTAAAATTTTTTAAAAAATTAAATAACTTATTAAATATTTATTTAAAATTAATTAAAAATTTTAAAACTTTTATAATAAAACATAAAATAGATAAAAACTAATTGAGTGTAATCAAGTAAACATAAAATTAAAGAATCAACACATAAATAATGAAAAAAAAAAGACTAAAAAAAAATATAAAGTAAAACCGACCTGTCATTCTTCGTCTTGGTTTACGGTCAACATTTATACGGCAAACAGTTGATGGGTACCCAATGAGGAGAAAGTAAAAGCTGAGCTCCACGTGTTCAACAAAGCAAGACATTCTTCTTTTTTTTTATAACAAACAAACAAAGCTACATATTTTCTCAAAAAAAAAAAAAAAGGAAGCTACCTTTCCAGTACTGCATTGGCATTGAATTTCAATTCCGATGATTCATTTCATTCCTGTCTTGTCTTGTCAGAATTTGGAGCCATTGGTCCACAATCACACTCTGGAACAGAGAGCAATCAATTCATAAATTTGCATAATTGCGCTGGAGAAAGCTCTTTCCAAGGGTGACTCTTCAGGATTGTTGGACTGCAGTAATGGTTCTGGTGGGAACACTAGAATTGACAGATAAATGAGGCGTCCTAAAAAAAATAGAGGATAAATAGAGTAACAAAAGGATTAAGTAGGAACTAGTCCGGAATTTTTCTGTGCAAACTTGGCTCAGAATATCTCTAGGGCGGTTCAACGAATAGCTGATGGGAACCAAAATAAGACAATAGGCACAAGCTTTTGAACCATCCAATCAGGTATTTCTTTTTCTTTTTTTTGGTAAAAACCATCTAATCAAGTATTGATAATTAGCATAATTCAATCAAGTAAATGCAAGATTAAAGAATCAATAGATAAATAATGAGGGGAGACTAGAGATGAATAAATCCATAAGGGTAAAGTAAAATCAGAGCCGTATCTACATGAACCAGGGATAGAGTCAGGAAATTCAGTTAGGGGTGAAATTTATTGTTATGATTTGAGTTTTTAAAAGTATTTTTTTATGATATTAAATTATTTTTTAAATCTCCTCCCTTATAAAAAGATTTATTTGTAGCCTTTATCATTTGATGTATTCTTAGTAAAGATTAGAAATAAATGTATTTTTTCAATTATAGTAAAAATCAAAATATCATAATAATAATTATGCAATGATTAATTGAATAATGAATAAAAAAAAGAGAAATGTGTTAGTGAATCTTTAACAAATTATGAGGAAAAATACCACAAAAATGAATTGTTTTAATAAACTTGCATTGAAAAAAGACAACAATAACTTATTTTTAAAGTAAGAATGAGAGTATTTTGATTTTATGGAAACAATATAATTTTGATATGTTTTTCTCTTAATTTTTTGGAGGTCATTGATAAATACAAATATTATAAAAAATACTAAAATATTCCCTTTAGAAAATAAATCTAATTTAGATTGATTAAACAAAAAAGATTATAAATTCAATCACGAAATGTAAAAATATACCTCAATGCCAAAAGAGAAAAACTTTAAATTATTACATAAAATATTAAAAAAAAGAAAAAAAACTATAAATTTAAAGTTGTTTAAATAGATAATAAAAAAAATTTGGATTTAATAGATGAAAAACTGTTTAAGAACATTCTTAATTAATTAATTGACATAAATTCATTTTATTTGAATTATATCCTTAGTTTTTGAAAACTCTTTATTTAAATCCTAAATATTTTCCCTATATTTGAAATTATTTTTAAAATTCCTACTATAAAAACAAAATTTTTAACAAATAAAAATTAAAGTACCATATTGAATGTTTTTCAAAAGCTTAGGGGGGTGGCTGCCCTCCCTTGTCCTTCGTTGCCTCCGTCCCTTGTAGGAGCAGTTGACGGGAACCAAAGAGTAAAAGAAAATCAAAGCTTTATGTGATCAACAAAATAATAAATTCGGCGGTCCCAGTTTTTGGGAGTTGTTCGTTCACAGTGACATGATAGAAAGGGTGAAATTGATCCATGATCTTTCATGGGAGAACGTTTTTCTGAAAGTGGCTGCTCAGAGCAAGTGGCCTGCATGAATGGTCCATAGTGGGAACACTAGAATTGATAGACTAACCTCTAAATATACCTATGGTCTGAACAATACATAAAGTTGGATTCTTTCCCACTATCGTTAGAAATTGGAGTAGTTGGTTGCTATGCTAGAAACACAAAATGACAAAGATCGCCTAAGAACATTGGATTGGGAAAGCAAATTCTGAAACCGTAAATAATAAACACCATTCACTCCACTCCTCCATAAATATATAATTAATGTGGATTGATTTTTCACTCCTCTTATACTTTATTATCATCTTATTAATTATTAATTTATTAAAATTTGTGATACCTCTAATTAATCGTAATACGTTAATACTTCATTTAACCGTTCAAAAATGCATCTTATACAATTTAATGAGCAAAAAAACTAACACTCCATGATTTATTTTTTTTTTTAATGGGATATAATTTACAAGTATAATTTAAGCACATGTCAATTAATCAACAAATCAAAACAATTAATCACAAATTACAAAATAATTAGCATTTAAGACTAACTTTAACTCAATAAACAATTTCAATCTTTAAAAAGTACGAAAGGAGAATAATAACATGCTGCACAGTAGAAGAAAGCATATGTTATGAGATTCATTTAATTTTTGGGATAATAATTTTCATTTGGCAACTTTATAAAAAATTAATATTTTATTATCACAAAAGTATTGTAAACTACCGACGTAAGAGAATGTACAACATAAACTATAGAATGCAATACTATGAGCATGCATAGGTAAACTAGACTATCAATTGATGGTTGTATCAGTTTAGTACTCTTTGTACTCAATATCAATAGAATTATTGCTAAAAAAAAAATAATCATAGAAATATAAAAGAGTTCTTGATTTTAAAATTTATTCTTAATTAAAATTGCAAAATAACTAAATCTTATTAGATTTGAAACTTTTCCTTCCCCATCCCCCAAAAGCCAAAATCAATTGAATTTAACCTCCGGAAATAAATTCAAAATTATCCATCCATAAAATTTCCTCCTTTCCCCTTGAAGTGCCAGTGCTACCTCCTAAATCCCTGACTATCTTCTTTTAGTTTACTTATTCCCAAAAATTATGACAGCCACTAATTAATCTTCTCTTGCGAATAAAATAATATTTCATCCAACTATTGTTGTCCATTTTGTTATCTAAAAAACAAATAAAAAGTCCAATATGCAAATTTCAGTCTAGTATTAATAGGAGCAAATAACTAGCAGAGTCCAACAAAGTAAGGCGGGTTTTGTTATGTCCACAAAACCAAATAAATTATATTTAGTTGAACTGATATTTTTATTAATTTATAATTATTTTAAAGCTAATTATAACATACAAAATATTAATTTATA